GAAGATTAATCAAAACTTTACTCACAAGTATTTTGAACTTCATGGATTTTAATCAACCAAAATGAAAAATCCAAATTTTGTTCAATATGGAATTTAGGGTTAGAGTTCCAATCATTTAAACTTTTAAAGATTAGATCTTTAACAAACTTGGGAACTTAAAATCACACATTCACATCAAACATTCACACATTAATGCAATTTATTTGCATAATTGTGAAAAATCGAGTTTGTGTGACAAATAGCATATCAACTCAAGCACTAATTAAAACTCCAAAATTATGCTTAAGGATATTTAAAATAGCAGTAGATTAGGGATGCAATAATGCATTTAATCTAACCTTGTAATGCTTGCATTAATCAAGGCTTAAAAAGATTTAAAATTTTCGTTGAAAAACGAAAAAACACCAAAAACTTGGGTTTCTGGTTCGAATTTGGCTTCTGGACAGTTTTCAAAGAGGGTTGAATCTGTTTCAGAATGTCGATTCCACCCAAAAATCACTATTTTTGAGCCAAAATCTGGGTTCGACAGCCAAATCGAGAAAAAAATACGAGTTTTAAAATTAATTAAAACGAGCTTCTAATCTAATTAGAAAAGCAAAACCAGAATTTAAATCTTACTTTAAAACACCTTAATTAATAAATAATTGCAAAAATTAAAAGGAGCGTGGCTCCGATACTGCTGTAGGGTTTCGTAGTGACCCACACTACGCGGAAAGAAACCCGCCAAGACCCGCCCCCATAATAAATGCAATTAACGAGCAAAACATAAATTAAAGCATAAGAAAGGATAAAATATTATACCTTTGACGCGTGCTTCGCTCATTTATGAGCTCTTACTTGAACCCCGAAAATACGAGGCCTCCGACGGGATCGTACCCTCGAACCCGACCCGATCGTCCTAAGCCTCGAAGGTTAGTCAAGGCCTGGACAAAATAAACTAGAGTTTTACGAATTTCAAGGTATGCTCAATAATGGAGTTTCCCTTACTTTTCAACCCAAGTGTGTTCCTTCCCAAATACCCAACTCTTGGTATTTATAGGGAAATGAACACTTGATCTTCATTTCCCAACCAATGTGGGAGAATGAGTAATTTTGATAATTAATTTAATTCCAAATTAAATTAATAATCAAATCAATCACAATGCAACGAGTGTCAAGGGGGGAGAGAGTTAGGTGAGGACCATGAACCTTGGGGGGGACCATTGCCTTGCTCCCCAAGGCATGCTCCAAGATTTTGGTCCCCACTCACCTCAAACTGGCACAAGGCATTTTGGTGAGCTGGTTGCTTGCCTTGCTGGCCAGCTAGCACAGCCACCCTAGCATGCCCAGCTGGCATGCACAGCACGCATCACCCAGCCCTCCCAGCACTTGTGTGCTGCTAGCGAGCCACGCCTTGTGCTGGGCGCTGGGCACTGCTGCCTGGCCATCGCACACACACACGCACAGCCTTGCTGGCTGGGTGCGTAGTGCTGTTGGTCTGCTTGGCCTAGGCCATGCACATGCACAACATGCTGCTTGGTGCTGCCATGCGAAGGCTAGCACGCAAGCCAGCACTGATGTTGCTGCTGCGATGGTGCGTGACACACACACACACGCGCAAGTGCACAACACTACGATGGTTGTGCTTGGTGCGTGTGGCCTGCGATGGCGCCTAGGCACCCAGGCACACACGTTGTGGTGCTGCTGTGCCATGCGAAGGCACGCACACACGCACATGGTGCTGCGATGCTAGGCATGCACGCATGCTAGCGCCTAGTGCTAGTGATGGTGCACCTAGCACACCTAGTGTGTCTAGGCTTGCGCCTAGCCATGCTAGGTGCATGCTAGCTCGAGTTAACCTAGTGTTCACAAGGCTAGGCCATTGTGACGGTACGGCTATGCTCGAACTTTTTGCTTGTGATTTTGCGACGCTCGGCCTCGACGCCCTAGGCTCGATATCCGACGTCTGTGTTCGTAAACCTCCGACGACTCGTTAAATCCTTCGAATTAATTCGTCGTATCGGATCAGTTATTTGATTAGGTTCGACCCGAAGGGTTCAGTTAAGAATAAGGTGTAATATTAAGTATACCTTAATGTTACTGATCGGAAGCGGCCTCCACCTAAGCATTCCGATCACTTGACCTTACTGAAAAATTAGCTCTGTAATAATTCTGAACCCTCTATCAGAATAATAAACTTGTTGGAAGGACACCATTCCTTTCATAAGCATGACCTTATGCCGTCTGAGGTTGGTGAATTTTTCTCGAAGGTCAGCGAGGTGATCCGACTGTAGTTTAGATTTGACTATCATGTCATCAATGTACACCTCTACATTCCTCCCAATTTGATTAATGAAGACTGTATTAATCATTCGTTGGAAAGTAGCAGGTGTATTCTTCAGCCCAAACGGCATCACCTTATAACAGAATAACCCTTGATCAGTGACGAATGTCGTCTTCTCTTGATCTTTTTCCACAAGGGTATCTGATGAAAGCCTGCGTAGGAGTCCATGAAACACATTAAGGCATGACCCGCTGTAGAGTCAACCAGACTGTCGATCTTTGGAAGTGGATAGCTATCCTTCGGACATGCCTTGTTCAGATTTGTGTAATCAACACACATGCGCCAAGTACCATTCGTCTTTTTCACTAGAACAACGTTTGTTACCCAATCCGGGTAGTGACATTGTCGAACGAACCCGGCATCCATTAGCTTCTTAACCTTGGCGGCAGTCGCCTGAGATCTCTCCTCGCCGTGATTCATCTTCTTTTGCCTAAACGGCTTCTTTTTTAGATCCACAGCGAGTTTGTGGACAGCAAGATCCGGGCTGACGCTTGGCATCTCTTCCACTTCAAAGGCAAAGATGTCTTTGAATTTTTTCAGTAGTTGGTGCAAGTCGGCACCCAACTTTACAAAAGCAGCCGTCCCCACCTTAACAGTTCTCTTCGGACGTGAATCGTCCAGAGGTATGTCAATATGCTCACCAGCCAGCTGGGGACAGAGATCGTCTGACCGCTCCTCGATTAGTGATTGCTATTGCTTTTCTTTCTTGACGGCCACCAACTGGTCCGCCTTCCTCTTTTTGCTGGTTGCTTTAGGGGAAAGCGCGGCTTCCTTGAAGTCATTAAGGTCAATGGGTTCTTCGCCTTGGCCGGCTGCGGCCACAGTAGGTTTGACATTTGAGAGATAACACTCCCTTGCCGTCTTCTGATCCCCATTCAGGGAACCCAATGACCCATCATCCCTCTCAAATTTCAGCAGCATGAGGGATGGGATAATGACTACCTTGGACTCGTTGAGGGTTAGACGGCCCAAAATCAGATTGTAGGGGGTCAATTCTTCAACCACCAAGAATTTGACGACCATGTGCCGTCCTTCACCCTTTTCTCCTAGCCGGATGGGTAGGTCGATCCTCCCCACCGGATGCACTACTCTACCCCCAAAATCGACTAAGGGGTGAGAGACTTTTTGCATGCCCATAGGCTTGTACTTGAGCTTAGCCAAGCACCTGTAGCTGATAAGGTCAGACGAGCTCCCGGCATCAATAAGAATCCGGCCCACTCGTCGTTTGGCGACCTTGCACTGGAGGACTATGGGGTCATCATGTGGCCGCCTGACCTTGCCACGGTCCTTCTAAGAGAAGATGACCTCAGGGAAGGTGTCTTTCGACGCCTGGACCTCATCCACTGGCCCTCATCCACTGAGTTGACCTCTAGCCTTCTGATGTAGTCCTTGGTGCCCCGGATGGTATGACCCCCTCCAGCAAAACCGCCTGCTATAGTATAGATTTGATGTTCATCAGTGTCAGAGCTATAGCAAGCTGGTTTGACTTTTTGGACGGTTGTCCACTGTTTGTTTTGAAGGTCACCTTGGACTTTAGAATGTAGGGCTTCAGTACCCCTTTGTCAGCCAGACGGTCCAACGACCGCCTGAGGCTATAGCAATCGTTGCTGTCATGGCCTATATTCTCATGGAAGTGGCAATATTTGTCTTTTTCTCGACTTTTGATAGGACTTTTCATTGCAGCCGGTTTCTCAATAGCTACCCGGTCTTTGATCTCCATGAGGATGGAGTAACAATCCTTGTTGAACTCGTACTTGGGGACGTATGATTTTAACTCTTTCTTCTTCTTCTGGGATGGCTGACCAGAATTATCCGCCACCCATACCTCTTTCCTTTTCTTGCTCTCTTCTTTTTTAGCCGGCTGAGCTGACCGACTCTCTTTTTGTTAGACTTTTTAGGGTCCGACGGCTTCTTGAAGGAACAGAGCTCTGTAGCCTGTATACCTCATCGCCGGTTTGTTTTCGAATACCTCTTCGAAGTATTCTGGAAACTGTCTGGATAAGTCAACGTTGAAGCCGACTCAGACAATTCACTAGTACATAACTAACCTCAAGTAACACCCAAAAAGTGTTACATAAAGTGGTAAAAATGTTATTATAGACAATAGGTAACACTTTAATGGGTGATACATCTGCCCGTGTTACCTAAGGTCTTATGTAACACTTTGGATAACGTATGGTAACACTTTTAAAAGTGTTACTATATAACCTCTTATGTAACACTTTTTTATATCTTTAGTATCATTTTTAAAGTGTTACTTTTTATTTCTTATGTAACACTTACTTATCTTTAGTAACATTTTTCAATCATATAGTATCACTTTATCCGACATTATGTATCACTTTTTCGAACTAATGTAACACTTTGTTGATTATTAGGTAACATTTTTCAATCATGTTTTGACATATAGTAGCACTTTATTCAACATTATGTATCACTTTTTGCAAGCTAATGTAACACTTTAATCATTAATAGGTAACATTTATCATCATCATTATTATTATTATTACTATTATTATTATTATTATTATTATTATTATTATTATTATTATTATTATAACATTTACTATTTTTTTTAAATATAAAAAAAAATTATATGTACAACAACTATATGAATAAGAAATCAACACATATGATAGAAAACAATTTGGAATAAATATTTTCATAATTCTTACTAAAAAAAATCCATAAACACCCATTTTAATGTTTGGCCAAACAATATAATAATCCAAACACAAAGAAAATTAAGTTCGATGTGCCGAATGGCAGAAGTAGTAACATAAGCTGCTAGCAGCAGTCTTTAGCAGCAACCAGCAGTAGCACACATGAATGGCAGCTTCCAACAGTAGCAGACAGCAGTTGGCAGCAACAAGCAGTAGGTGACAGCAGTTTGCAGCAACCAGCAGTAGCAGACGGCAGTTGGCAGCAACCAGCAGTAGCAGATAACAGTGGCAACAACAGACAACCGTAGCAACGGAAAAACAGCAGTAACAGCAAAAAAACAGCAGCAAAACAGCGATAAAAGTAAGTTCTTGTAGCATCATCAATTGCTATCCTATTTCTTCATCTTGATCCAATTGATTCTATGTGTGAAAGCATCATATATTAACCATTACCTCATTTCGTTGTTCTTCATTAGAGTGTACAATGGGAATATGATCTGTAAGTTCTGGATTGGATGACACATTTTCAAGTGATCGAGTCAAAGTTTCCAACACTTCAGGATCAATTTGCTTGAGCGTCTTCATTAATTCTGCTACAGTTTCTTTCACAATTTGGTCTTTATAGGGCTTTAAGAACTCATCGGGAATTATTAGTTTGTTGCTCTTTCCCCTTAGTGAACATATCCCCGGTTGCTTTTTTCTATGGCTAAAGTTATTTGGTTTATTCATTACTTCATAGTATGCAACATCTCCATCAATTTCACTTTGAATTTGTACCTCATCCATCTTGTCCTATAATGGAAATATAACAAATAAACAACTAATTTGAGACAAATAATCATATTCTCAAAAATATGGAGACAGTAGGACTTACAATGTTACTTTGGGTGGGCTCATAAGATGTTTTGTATTTTTTGTCTGCTTTCCTTTTACAACTTTCTTTGTACATGAGTGCTAAGGATGGTGGCTTGTTTTCAACATCTAGTTGTTGCTAGAATAAAAAACACATCCAAATAAGAATTGAAATAAGATTGTTTACATGATCGCAGTGAGAACGATAAAGAAGGAAGAACGGTATAAAAACATACCAATTTATGTTGTTTCCTCGCAAAAGTCATAGGACCCATAGTGTGCCTATCATTTTGATCTATACTTATTTCCCTTTTCTTTTTGCTATCTTCCTGCATGCATGCATAACACACGATTCATAGCCTAACACATTTCATTTTGAGAGGGAAATAAGCAATTGTAATATAATGGAAACAAACAACATAACTTTACCTGGACTTGTTCCAAATTCCAAAATTCTAGCAACTCTTTGAAATGTGCTTCCGGAATTGTATTAGGAGGATTTTCCAACCTATCACCATCATTGTCGTACGGAGTAAAGTGTGTTGCCTTTACACTACATTTATATCTACACCAAAGCCTTCCCACGGTTGACAAAACACAGTTTTTACCTTCATCCGCAATAACGTATTTCTTCTATATTAAGTAATATATTAAACAAGAAAATTAGGGAGCAATCAATTACTTCAGCCACTTGACATAGTAGCACATAAACTAATCAAATCAAACCATTAAAAAAATACTTCCTGCTCATATCCTAAATGTTGCCAGCTTTTGAATACGTAAATAAAAGGTGCATACCTTCACGTAACTCCAAATTGTTCCTTGTGTGGAACGTAATGCCAATTAATCTTGTTCAACGGCGCTAGAGAAAAATTACGAGCTAAAGTCCCTAAGAATCTTGTAAATGTATTTACAGTCTTATCATCAGGACCAATAGGCTTTCCCATTTCATTAAGAACAATAGGCTTACGCTCCTCTAATGTCCATTCATGGACATCTTTACACATAGTTGGTCCTCTGGTTCGCTTCCTTTTTGGAAGTGCTACATGAACATTAACTCAACAAAGTCATTAAAATCATATATGGCTCTTAACATATCTATCTTAAAATATTTAAATTGGAATGATAGTGATCATTACCTATTTATTCACTTTCGTGCTCTTGATTCATTAGTGGTTCATCTTGCATTCCTAGCTCCTCGGGGGTAAGAGTACTCAAATCATCACTGAACTCATCGTCTTCATCTACATATTGTTCCAAATTACGTTCATTTGCACCCATATGATTCTCGTAATCTTCCTGTAAGTCATGTCTAAATCTTTGTGGCTGTGAAAAACTTTGTGCTTGTGAACTCCCTAAATGCACTTGTGAGCTAGCCATATTAATAGGCTATGAACTAGCCATGTTAATAGGTTGTAGTTTTCGTCGTAGTAATAAATCACTTTGTTTTGCTCTCCTCTCTTTTTCTAGCAACTGTGTTTGCATTTGCCTATAAGCACTGAGTGAACCAGGAGCAACCACTGTCTTACTCTGACTTGTCTTAGTTTGGACACCATTCCCAATCTCAACCTCTTTCTCTTGCTGATTATGGACTGCTGATTTTTTCTGTGCAGTAGACTTGCCCAATTGGATTTTTCTTTGCGTTGGTACTGAAGAGACACATGCCGTGTCCTTAGTTAGATTAGCCATTGGTACTGAAGAGACATCTGTCGTGTCCTTAATGTTTGTGGTTATCTTCCCTCTCAATGCCACAACCTGAAATTAAGTATTCATGAACATCATTAAACAAATATTACATGATTTTCTAACAATTATGATTCACAAAATTAAGTTGTCACAAAAAAAAAAAAAAAAAAAAAAAAAAAAAAAAAAAGAACCACCTTCTTTGAACGAGACCTCAAGTTTACACCGGTTTTCCTTACCTCATTTTCATCCTCTTCACTTGAGTGGTTCAGTTCACCCTCTTCATCAGGTGTATACTCGTCAGTATCTTTAGTCACCTTCTTCCTTTTTTTTGTTTGTTTCGATCCCTTCAGCAACTGTTTCATTTCATAAGCCATGGATGTAACCCCTAAATCCTTCATCCTGATTCTATTTTGTTCTACAGTTTTTTGTCTAAGTTTCTCATATTCTGCCATCTAGATCTTGCTTCCTACAAAGAACACACAAGACAGTCAGAGAGTGGCCAGAACAAAACATGAATGCATAGGATCATGATATTCACAAGTAAAGCAAAGAAATAGCTCATAAGCTTTGTGTTAAAACACATTACAAGCAATATACACAACCACACAAAGTTTGAGCTCCAGAAAGTGCACAGAATGTAAATGCACAACTGAATCATGTCCTCACTACAGAGCCGAGTGCAAGAGTGCAAAAAATGCAGGGTAATTACATGTGAAAATAAAGCAGTTGGATTAGATAGTGTTCAAAGGTGAAATAAAGAAAACAAGGTAGTCCCTTACAGATTCTTGATTACTCTGATGATAACTTCCCATGTATAAGAAAAATTTTCAATATCTGAAAGTGAGTGTTGTGGAGCAAAACTATTTACTTGAGTCGATTCATTAAAATGCTATTGGATTCATATATAAAGACCTTCAGCAACTAATATGCATAATGCAAATTAGTGTGGTTTATACTTTGTGTGACCAACTTGCTTTATACAAAGTGTGTTAAAACTGATTCCAGATTTCGAGCCATCGGGGCAATGGGGGAGAGTTTAAACTGCAAGGGCGAGGCAGCCAGGCCATGTGTTCTAACTTCAGACAGAGTTTGCAAGGTGCAACTGAGTATGTATGGAGTAATTTAATGATGCGATGAAATAAAAACAACATATTAAGCTCTTTAGTATTCATATGTTTCCTGAATCTGATTTAGATCATTCAATGTGAGAAGTTTTAAACAAATATAAGCGGAATTACACTGAAGTTCAACTTTATCAAATTTTGTTGCAGAACACAATGTATTATAGTTGCTCAACTGCTCACCTATATTCGTTGTATTGTCCAAATTCATCTCTTACAAAATTCATTTTCTTGTAGAAATTTTCATTTTAGAACAAAACTCTGTCCTGATTTTCAGAGTAGAATTACACTCAAAGACAGTTTCAGCAGGCCTCATCAAATACATATAGAATCTAGTATGGATTGCTCAAATACTAATTCTGTAAATTTTTTATGGATGCAAATTCTAGTCCATATGTTTTATCAAGACATTCAAGCGAAGAAGAAAATATAGGCCAAAATAAAGAGCCATCTTGGGAGGCAGAAGAAGTGATAAAAATAGCTTATAGAGAACTTCAAGCTGGTTTAGATAAACTCGGACATGATATTACAGACAGGAATGAAGATAAAAATCTAAAGCATAGGTATGGAGCTGGTGCTGTACCTTATGATTTGTTGAGGCCTAAATCCGATGTTGGGGTCACTGGTAGGGGAGTTCCAAACAGCATCTCCATCTGAGTTCAATTGGATTCATATTTTATTTTTGTTAATATCTAACACTCGGGTGGACCTTATGGAGAAAATATTGCAACAGGTAGTAATGCATCCTTGACTGGCACGGCTGCAGTACAACTATGGGTGAATGAGAAGGTTAATTATGACTACTAATCCAATACTTGTACTATGCTCCTAACACGGTGTGTGGACATTATACTCAAGTTGTTTGGAGTAATTCGGTTCAACTTGGATGTATATTCATTTTGTCTGAGATCATGGATGCAATCTAAGTATAAGAACTTTGCAATGAAATCCAAGGAAAAATGCAGGGTGGGCTTGGAAAAAGTTGTGCCAAGTGAAAGACAAGCTGAAAGAAGGTTTTGCTAGTGAGGGGTGGATGAACAGTCCTTATAGCATCTCTAAAGTGTATAAATGGCTGCGTGGCACTCATCATGAGGTTGATTGGGTATCTTGGGTCTGGAATACCTTCAATATTCCAAAACATTCTTTTGTACTGTGGCTAGTAATGCAGAACAGACTGAAGACCAGAAGCAGACTGGCTGCTTGGGGTGCCTGCCAGGACAATAGTTGTCTTTTATGTGGTTCTGCTATTGAGGATAGAAGACATTTGTTCTTTGATTGTGAGTATGCAATGAAGACTAAAACCAGGCTCTAGAGCAACTAATTATAACTGTCTGAGGTGGGGCTGGTAGCCTGGTTTGTGAGCCCGATGAGTAGCAACAAGTGGATTGTCATGAAATGTTGAGGACTTGGGAATCTCAGACATTTAATTTCTAAACATCACTATAATAAAAACATGCAAGTAACCTTTCACTAATAGCATACCCGCAACAGAGAAATATTGACATGAAAAGAAAGGGGAAGGGAAATGTAATACAGTAGAGAAACAATTGCTTCCTCACATCCTCTACTGCCAGTCTATTCAGCCATACGCGAAGGATTATCAGCCAAGGGAACTGATATTGGAGCTCAAATAAACAAGAATCAATCCTCAAAAAACTTCAGTGAATTGGCTATTCCTGAATTAAAATCAACATTCATACCAATCAAATAAACATAGGATAAGAAATCAAATCATGATACCCCCACTTGGCTATTCCTGAATTAAAATCAACATTCATACCAATCATGGAATGCATATCCCCAAATTTGAGAATCGAAATTAATATGCAGATTACCCATTTCAAATACAGTTATAGCTCAATCACAGTTTGGGGCTTAGTATAACAATTGTTGCACATGAAGTTGCCTTCAAAGATATAGGTTTGGGTTTGGAGCACAGGACTTTCAGCTTTGACTTCATATTCACCTGACTGACCCAAGCCAGACTGAGTCAAAAGGTAATACATATAGCACACTTGCATCATGCAGTCCATATAACGATTGATAAAAGCACCTGAGCATAGAAAAAGCACAAAAAGAGTATGCATATCACCTGAGCACAAGGTCAGCTTATACTCAACTCTGACCAGCTAATAGTCTGAGGTAGATATTAATCTTGCTAATACTCAGACTCAGACTCAGACTGTTAGCAAGATTAATTTACCTCACACGCAGCTTTATAAATATTGCAAAAAGTCTAAGGCAAATTAATCTTGCTAGAGCTAAAGTCTGATCAGCTATATTCATGCAATGCAAAGACAAAAGTTCATTGAAATTATGTCAATAGTAGAAACTACCTCAGTGAAGCCGACACAACTCGCCTACTGCCTGAGCACAAAGATACCACACAGCTCAAAACTGCCAAATGTAAACACCGTCACTATAATATCAGACCTCAAATAAATTTAACATTTAAATTAAGGTTAGTGTAAATTCTGTAGCACAACACTAAATTTAACCACTAACTTATTTATTTGATTAGAAAACAAGTTCAAATAGAAAAATAGAACACTTCAATAATAGTTTGTCAAATCCAAATAATAAGTTCAAATGAAGGATAATTATTCTACAAAAACAGTCTAAACATGTCACTTTGATGGTTCCATCCAATCCCAATCTGTGTCATCTATATCGGAACTATCTTCGTGATTATGATTTCTCATTTCACTGTTGACAGGCACCTCAACTCTGTCATAAGCATCTTCTCTGCACCAACTTTGGTGTTCATCATGATCTGTAGCCAGAATTACAGCCTCCGTGGGTTCACGAACTTCATTCATATATGTGTGTTCAGATTGCCCCTCGGCATAAAAAAAGTCTCTTGGCAAATTTCCGTGCACATAATTCCAATCTTCTTCAAGGCCGTCTTGAGTGTAGAACACTTGATGCACTTGTGATGCCAAGACAAAAGGGTCATCTTTAGAACACAATTTCTTAAAGTTAACGCGAGTAAGTCCATAGTCATCTACTTCCACATGGAACCAATCACACTCGAACAACACAACACTAAATGCACTCCAATAATCGACCTCAATTATCAATTTTATAGCCCCATAATATGTGACATTACCAAACGGGATTGTGATCCTTGCTACTCGCAAATCTTGGAGTCAAAGCAGTTAAAGAGACTCCACTATTTTGAGTTTTACACCTTTCATCATGATCTCTAGTGTAGAACTTATATCCATTACAAGAATATCCAGGGTACCTCCTTGCAATATTAGAAGGACCTTTTGATAGCCACTTAATATGATCTGGGACATTATCCACCACAACCTTTTCTCTAAACCAAACCATGAATTCATTGCTATGCTCTTGCGCCTCTTTCCACCTTCTTTTTCGTTTGTCTCTGGACTTCTTCTTCACAAACTCTTCATGTTCCCTTCATAGTATTAACCATATAAGTAAGGTAATAAAACGATATAAATTTAAACACAATAGACAAGATATTAAAAAAGTTACTCACTTGATGTAATTCTCAACTTGGTCATCTTGACAATTAAACAACACATAACGATGTGCTAGAGCCATTGTGTCTGAATCAAGAGTGTATGCCTTCCCTTTCTTCTTCCCTTTCTTTTTCCTCCCAATAGGATAACCTACCTTAGGGTATAAAGGTGATTCTTCATCGATTTCATCAGTTTTCTCTTGACTTTTGTTAAACCACTTAGATCGCTTCTTTACACTAGCATTCAAATACCTAGAGCAAAATACCAAGCACTCTTCAGCCAAATAACCTTCTGCTATAGAAGCCTCAGGGCGACATCGGTTTTTCACATATGATTTTAACTTTCCGAGGTACCTTTCTATAGGGTACATCCACCAATCACACACCGGTCCACCACGCTTGATTTCATCAACCAAATGAATCGGTAAGTGGATCATTATGTCAAAAAAAGATGGTGGAAATATTCTTTCTAGTTCACAAAGAGTCTCAACAATTCCTGCTTGAAGGCGATCCAAATCTTTCGGATTGATGACTCTCTTGCATATTTCTCTAAAAAAGCCACTCAATCTCATAAGAGGTAAAGCAACATGCTTTGGTAAAGTTTTCCTAATTGCTGATGGAAGCAATTGTTGCATTATTATATGAGCATCATGACTCTTATACCTTGATATTTTCCCCTCCTTGACTTGCACACACCTTGCAATATTTGATGCACAACCTTGGGGCAGCTTTGCCTTCTTCAAAACACTACAAAATATGCTTTTCTCTTCTTTCGTCATTGAGAATGATGCTTTGGGCAACAAAACATACCGCTTGTCATCTACATCTACAGGATGTAGTTCTTGCCTTATACCCAATTCTTGTAGATCTAATCGAGCCTTATGATGATCTTTTGACTTTCCAGGTATGTCTAATAAAGTTCCGAGCACATTATCACAAACGTTTTTTTCGATGTGCATGACATCCAAATGATGACAACAACCACAATCTTTCCAATAAGGCACAGTGTAGAAGACGGAGGACTTTCTCCATGGACAATCTACATATTTCTTCTTTGGTTGTAATTTCCAAACTTGTTTTCCCAGTTTTCCAACAAGCTTGAAATTTGATCCCCTATTAAAGGATCTGGAGATGTCCTCTCTTCCTTTTCCCCATTAAAAGACTTCATATCATGCTGCCAAGGATGACTTTCATCTAACCATCGACGATGAGCCCAGTAACAGGATTTGTTACTATTACTCAAGTGATGATGATCAGTCTCGTAGTGACAATAAGGGCATGCATACTTCCCTTTGGTGCTCCAACCAGATAACATAGCATAACCTGGAAAGTCGTTGGTTGTTGATTGTAAAGCTGCATGCATCTTAAATGTTTGACGCTTCTCCGCATCATAGGTGTCCAACCCATACTCCCACAGATCTTTAAGTTCTTGAATCAATGGTTGAAGGAAGACATCAATGTCATTTCCAGGAGAGGTGGGCCCGGGAATAAGGAGAGATAACATTAAGAATTTTGGCTTCATACACAGCCATGGTGGTAAGTTGTAATTAATTAAAACAACAGGCCATGTACTATGTTGTGTGCTCATAGTTCGAAATGGATTGAATCCGTCACTTGCAAGCCCCAAATGAACATTACGTGTTTCATTAGCAAACTCTGGATACTTTTGGTCAAACTCTTTCCACGCCTCACCGTCAGTAGGATGCCTCAATAACTCATCTTTCTTTCTTTCTTCATCATGCCACCTCATTAGCTTTGCTGTTTCCGAACACATGTACAACCTTTGAAGCCTTGGTTTAAGAGGAAAAGGCCAAAGAACTTTTGCGAGGACTTGATGCACTTTCTTAGATGGTTGATTGCTAATATCTTCTTCGTTTTCGGTCTGTGTTTCTTTCCACCTTGGAGCATGACAAACATGGCAAGACGTGGCCTCTTCGTGCTCCTTCCAATATAGCATACAATCATTACGACATGCATCAATCTTGTCATAATGAAGACCTAGATCTTTTATCAATCTCCTTGCCTCATTAAAAGAGTTAGGCAAATTGGACGCATCTGGTAACACTTCTCGAAAAAGCTCCAAAAAATCTGAGATTGCTATATTAGTTAACCCATGAGTACACTTCAAAAGGTAAAAGCGAATAAGAAATGATAGCTTTGAAAAATTTTTGCACCCGGGATATAGCTCTTGTTTTCCATCTTCAACTAACTTATAAAACTTCTTAGCCTCATCATTGGGCTCATCTCCAACCCCTTCATACCTTTCTTCCACATCTCTATGAACATCATATATAAGACGTTCAATATCATCATGCATGTCTTCAACATCCCTCTCGGTATTTGATGTTGATGACAAGCCCTTTTCATAACAATGCCATCCTTCAGTGCCAGGCTTGATCCCGTTTGCAATCAAATGATTGAAAATTGTCTCTCTACGATGCCAAAAGCGGTGATAGCACACCTTACACGGGCAAGAAATTTGATCTTCAATTGCTTGTGTAGAAAACGCTTTATCTAAATAATCCTCTACACCTTTCTCGTACTCATGACTAGATTGTAAGAAGTTGGTCCAACTACTCATTTTGTCTCCTTTATCAAAATTTAATAAGTAAATTTAAAGATTTAAAATATTGGCATGTAATTTTACATGTCTAAAAGGAATGACAATATCCATAGAAACAAACACCCATATATTCAACTTTGTATAATAATAATAATAGAAATGAAACAAGTATAAAAAATAAAAAAAAATAAAAAAAAAACAGATTATGTTCATTCCATTTGGTTTAACTTATTATGACTTATTTAGACAAATTCAGTTCAAATGAAAGTCTTTGCTTGAGTTGAACTTTTCACTGTTATAATGTACTTGTAGTCTGATAATGGTCATAAACACTTGCATCTATTTGTAATAATCTTACTACATCTTGAAATACTTGATCACATACAGTTGTACTTGACTCGTTTGATCACAAATATTCTGATAATAGCCTGCAGCAAATTTGATAATCTTCAGTTTAGTTTAATTCTGTTAATGCAGAGAAACTTATCATTATAGCTAGAGATTATGACCTCCTTCAGTTTGGATGGACTATTCTGTCCATTAATTGGCTCGATATACCTAATATATGATATTATTTCACTGGCAATTAAAATTGAATGCTCCATCAACTTAATAAGATTTCTAAACAGTAAAACCCAAGATCAATAATACGATGTATACAACATCATTTTAATAAGAAAATCCATTAATATACAAAAAAAAAATTGCATGAAACCATGAATAACAACAGGTCCAAATTTCAAATGAAATAATATAGAATCCAATCAAAACAAACCCTATAAACTAGACTGTGATGATAATTCACATTAAATTTAATGATTACATAACCAAAAACATTAAAAATCCACCAAAAAAATAACTAATACCTGATTGTAGGCGCGAATTGATGGAATCCCAGATGACGATCGAGTCGACGACTGGTTTTGAGATGAAATTCGCGCGATTGAACTTGAATTGCTTCTCTTCACCCTTGTAGGTCACCACTATCACTGGCTCCTTGTCTTCACCAGAATCGAATGATTTTGATTGGGTTTTTGGTGATAACAGAAGAATTGAATGTCGTGCTGATGAATGAGGAAATTAAACCTAGAATTGAGAGATTGTTTTTTCTATAAAAATTTTCCTTAATTCTGGCGGTTAAAGCTAATTGAGGCCCAAATTATTTTTTTTAATTGCTTTGGCGGTAATCTGAGAACCAATAATTAATTTTTAACACTAACTTTTACTTTATTATAAATGTTTAATCACCTTAAAATAACGTAACACCTCTTAGTGTTACCAAAAAATGTTACTTTTTTTAAAAGTGTTACTATGGAGTGTTACTTATGTTAAAAGTGTTACATTAAGTGTTACATTCTAATAAAGTGTTACCAAAGTGTTACTTATTAATCTAATATTTTGCATTTCAAGAAGTGTTACCGATTACATGTTACATAAAGTCAATAATGTAATAGTGATTGTTGACTTCTCTTCTGCTGGATTAACATCCGGGCATCCGAGTAAGTCTTTTTGGATCCATCCGGCTGAACTTGCCAGATGGCCTTCCTTTTCCCTGCTTCAGGGAAATGGAGTTTGGATAAATCAATCATGGGCCCATCCGTCCCCTTTGGCTTAGGGTGAGGGGTAGGCACACGATCCTTCACATGCTTCTTCCCTAAGGGAGAAGGCTTCTTTGCCGACTGACCCCTGTTCGTGCCAGTCGTCTACTTGTTTATCAGGTCCTTGATTTCCCCTTTGAAACTAGTCATGAATTTTATGAGTTCGTCTCTTGTAACAGAGGAAGCACCCTCCACCGCCTAGGGTTATCAAGCTGGCTTGACGGTTGGGTTGCTTAGACCAGCTTTGTCTTCGCCCCGTTCCCTTGTTTCCTTGGAACAGGTGCGTCTTGTTCTAAGTGACCCATCTAGGGCCACATAGGTGTCAACATCGAAGTCGTCACCACTATCTTGGTCTGTATAGACCACTACTCCGGCCAAAGGCCATTTCTCATTAGCAAGCGGTACAGACTCATGCGAAGCCATCTTAGAAGTACTCTCCCCACAGACGACGCCAAATGTTTCAGGGTTTTTGGAGTCACTCGGGAGAGTTACAATTCCGAGAATGGATGTCGACCGTCTGTACCTACAAAACCACGAAAACTCCGGTTGGGTGGAGTTCCGCCTCCAACGATCAAGTTAGTAGGCATACGGACGAAGTTAAAAGTGCGGAATGTAAATAGTTTCTCTCGGATTCCGAGAGAGAGTATTTGCAATTAATATTGCTCTGGTTTGCGAGAATATTTATGAATGTGCAATAAATGGGGATCTCTCCCTATTTATAGGGTTTGAGGATCAACTCCCCTTTCACGACTTGGACTGCCACGTGTCGTCAGAGGATTGGTTCTATTAGAACCTCTTTGAGGTTGACACGTGTTAGCATGAAATTGGTCCACGTGGACCGGGGTATTGTTACCCTAAACAATATGAATGTTCTTTATTTTTATCCCTTATGTTCTTTTGTTTTATCCCTTATGTTATTCTAAGTTTTTTTCAATTTATAAGTCTGATATGTGTTTTAGCTTCGGTGTTCTTTGATTTATCCTGTATGTTCATTGAATTATTATAATATTAACTTTAAATACTATATCGTTTATTAATTCTATATTTTTTTAATATTAATTATATCATTAACTATGTATATTTTTTTTGAAATCGGGACATGAAGGGTTGATGACGATATTCTTTTTGGGTCTCTTCTAGATTGATGATTGTTTTTCAAATCTAAAGAACATCGATCTGTAATATTATTAAAGAGCATGATAATATTATGTAATGAACATAACTTATATATGTAGTATATACGATATACCTACCACGATCCAAAAACAAATTTCAAAGAAAATTTCTCAATAGCAATGAACATTTTGTGACAATAAAAGTACATTGCAATTACAATCAAAGAACATGCACATTTAAAATAATCTATCAAAATATCTAATAAAAATCATTATATGATATAATTATGGACATAAGGAAAGAATACCATTTTAATAATTGATTGTACATCACAAACAACTATAAAGTACATCATGTTTTCTAATAAAGAACATAATTAAATTACATATAGAATATCATCACATGAAATACATATACCAGACCTAAGACGAATATTATAACTATGAACGAAATAAAAAATTTGGAAAAGGAAATTTTAAAATTTGAATTTTGAAATTTAAAAATGAATCTTAAATTATTTTTTGGGTGAAATAATTTTAGAGAATAAAAATAATTATGAGAAACTTTATTTTGGAGAGAGAACGAAACTGTTTGGAAAATGATAATTTTTGTAAAGATTTTATCAGTTAATGTGAGTCATGGGTAGTTCTTTTCCCGTAATTAAAGATTTATGCTTAAAAAGATTTCGCGTTCTTTTTATCTTAACTTGATCTTCTTTAGAATATGCATGGTCATTATTTACTAACATGATGTTATTTCCGCTTTTTTTTTAGCTTGTTTGGTTCTTGCGTTTTAGGAAGAAGCGGATGTCGTTTTTGTCTGGCCTGGTACACCTGGGGTTATAGATCAAGAATTAATATATATATATATATATATATATATATATATATATATATGTATATGTATACATATACATATATACATATATATATATATATATATATATACATATATATATATATATATGTACATGTACATGTACATATATATATATGTATATACCGAATTACGGTGAGAACTAGCCGAATAATAGGAACTAAGAACTAATGTGGACCGTCACATCTAACACAAATAGGCACGCAATTAACGGCCCAGATTGAATCACGCATATTCAATTCATTTCCCAAAAATCAATTGCACTTTCTCTCTCCTCAACCATTTTCTCTCTCCTCCATTACACCGAGCTTTCTCTACCAAATTGGGTATAATTTGCTGCAAATTCGTCTAGATCTTGATGAATTTGCTTCAAATTCGTCAAGATCTTGCTGGAAATTTGAACTTTTCTTGTTTAATTTGGTGAATTCAGGTCAAATTTCTTCTGCAACTCTGAATTTTTTCGTTCGAGATGCAAAGTTAAGGTTCAAAACAGGTATAAGTAGAATATACTTAACCTTGAAATTTCTTAAGTTTAAATGTAATTTTCAGCTAAAACTTTAATGTTGCTTGGCGACGAAAAATGGCGATATGAATTTTGTGTTGTTTACTCAAATTTGTCGAGTTGTTTTCGCTCATATTTTTGTGAAGTTGGGTGAGTTTGCGAACGAATAAATTTAGTTTGTGTAAATTCTTGTGAGAATCTCTTATGATCAAGTTGTTCTTTCTTTTATTTTGATAATGCCAAAAGGGGGTAGAGGAGGACAAACTCAGCCAAGGCCAAGTCAAACTGGTTTTAAGGTAAAGGTATTTTTCATTCAATTCACATTTTCTTGAATCATACATATTTTTTTTTTTTGTTTAACTTTATTTTTGTTTAATTTTATATTTTCAGTCTATTATTTTGAGTGCCTGAATGATTATTTTGTTCACCGAGTTTGTCTTGTTTGTCATCATCAAAAAGGGGGAATATTGTTGAACCTCTTGGTATTTTGATAGATGACAAACAAACAAGCTTTGACTAATGGTGTTTGATAGTCTTTGGTAGAATGAAAAGATTCAGGCGATAAAATATTTGTTCCAGAGTAGGAGCAACGAAATTGGAAGCTTCGATATTCGTATGCAAGCTCTCAAGATGAAAAAGACAAATTCCAACCCTTAGTATTCACTGTAAGCACTAGAGCTTTTATGTGGAGAAAGGAACTCAGTGAGGAACTTAGTGTTCAGTAAGGAACTTATTGTTTTAATCAGAAAATGTTTTTAACGTAAGACTTTAAATCAGTTTTTATTCCTTAATTAAAGGATAAAATAAAATCAGTTTTTAAAGAGATATATTTTCTGTAAATAAATAAAAGATTAATAATTGTTTAATTAAACGATAAGTTTGTTATTTTTAAATTAAATAATTATTTAAAGTTTTATCTTTTTAAATAATAAGTACCTTTAATAAATATCTTTAACTGATTATTAGACTAAGTAAAAGTTGTTACCTAATTTTAAGGAAGTCGTTGAATGCTTGAGAGAAAAGTCAGGGAGACCATATTCCTCATTCCCTCAACTTTCACTTTGACTCCCAAAGTTAAGGTGTACGTGAGATCATGGGAGGAGTGGGAACATGGTTGAGGCTTCTCATCTCTCTATAAAAAGCATGCAACAAATTCTGATTTAAAGTACAACAGACAACAACGAGAAACATTCAGTTGAATTATGTTTGGCAAAAGAAAAATGAGTGTTGTGTCAACGCAGGAACCCATGAAAGATGGGGTTCCTGAAACTGCCTAAACTCTACCTACATTATATTATTGATATCTTATCATCTTTAAGTAAATAAAAGTTTATTAATAGTAAATCAATTGGATTCAAAAGTAAATAATAATGTCCTATTTTTTTTTATATAAATGTTCAGTCAAATGCTAAATATAAGACCTTTTTGTCCTGAAAGGTTTTAAGTTCTAACATGTGCTGAGGAATAATGTGGATGTTGTAATCATGAATGGGAAGGAAGTGGGTCTGGGGGTGGTTGTGTGGGACTCAAATGCAAGGTTTTAAACACTACAATAAGGAGAAGAACTGGCGGGTGGGAACCAAATGTTGCTGAGGCTGCTGCTTTCTGTTATGGGGTTGAGATTTCATGGAGTTTTGGCTATAGCAGGATGTGGATGGAGAATGATGCTCTCACTATTATTGAGAAAATTAAGGGGAAAATGTCAGGGCTTAGCTATTTGTTTCTTTTCACTGGTCGTGTTATTCATTCGATGTCTTTGTTTGATGA